GATCTTTGCCGCGGCTCGAACGGTTAACTTTGGGTCTCTTTCAAGAGCAGCTATAGCAAGAAGAATCCGATTTTCGTTCGAATGCGAGACCATGACGCGTTGTGGAGAAATTCAACGTTTAAGTGTGGAATGCCGCGTTGTGGTGAAAAGTGGTCCACTCGCTGATATGGTCCACTCGCTGATAACGCACGTTATTGAAACAGGCGACAAGATTTTAGTCCAATTTAGGTCACGCACATGCTGTAGGTCTTTCGGCGCAGTCCAGGTGACTCCGCCAATATCCCGAGATGTCCCGCTGGTCAGATGTCTCAGCCAGGTGGCAAAATACTGAGTGGCATTCTCTAGTATCTCGCGATCATTGTGGCTCCTTTAGTTGGGAAGTTAGCACAATTCATTCATTTCAACGGGCTCCTACTTGGGGACAGAGGCACAGGATGCTAGACGCGTAAATCTAAGGAAATAAACGGGAAGAAACGGAAATCTCCCAGCCAGAGGCTTGTTCGTACGCAATACGGCCTGCCAAATTGCCAACAGCGCGATTCCGGAAGGTCAGGGGTTGCGGGAGCGGCGCAACCGGATCCATATACCCGGGCATTGACACTGCCGCCATCCGTCGGATGTCCGGCGAATAATTTCTACGTGTAACCATACCTTGTGTCATGTTACGGTGATACTCAGGAACTTGCCGCCGGAATGCTCCAAAACGCAAATTGGGCTGATTTGTAATGATGGTGAACCTCCGTCTTTAGCCGCGATTCCTCCACTCTGAACACGAGGCCGTCTGTTTGAATCCCTTGCCGGTCCCTTTTCCGGGGTTGGGGCGGGCGGCCGCCCCCGGACAGGAGACGACGATCGTTCCCGCCCGGGTACCCTGGTGCCGCTGGGTCGGAGCTTGTCCGTGTGTGACAGGCTAGAGTGCCTGGGGCCAGGGCGCCTGAACCCATAGTGAGTCCGACCGGTGCAGTACGCGCATGCTACGTCGCGGTATCGCTTTTAGTCGATATGAGTCAATCTAATGGCGAGGCTGAGGGATCGGCGCTGGGGCATTTCTGGATGTGGCTCCGTGTTGGCGATTCAAAGTTCCCTTCTCCGACCAGAAATGAATCTAAAACTTGAGCACCAACAAACGGCGCAAAGACGCACCACTGAGCGGTATTTTGGTTACTAGGTGGACACAATTTTGCGCAGCGGCGCGGTTAAACAATTTACCGACGCCGTGTAAGTCTGCGTGGTAGTCATGATATGGGCACATGACACTTGATGCGTACGCAGCCCACGCCAATGGACATCACCACTTCCAACTGTCTATAGCGGCGCCAACTGGGCCAGATCATTACAAGAAGCTCCACCTCGCGGGCATGGGCAAGTTACTGGACTACGTCAACCTCATGGCCTACGACTTCGCAGGCGGCTGGGGCAACTGTAGTGGACATAACGCCAACTTGTATCAGAACTCGCAGAATCCGAATGCCACCCCGTTCGATGCGGATTCGGCCGTCAAGTTCTACATGAAGGAAGGTATTCCTGCGGAGAAGCTGGTTCTTGGCATGCCTATCTACGGTCGCTCGTTCCAGGGAACCACGGGTATTGGACAGCCGTACTCTGGTGTAGGAAGCGGCTCGTGGGAAAACGGCATATGGAACTACAAAATCTTGCCTAAGGCAGGGTCCACGCTTATGTACGACGGCGTCGCGAAGGCCTATTATACCTACGACACGTCGACGAAAGAGCTCATCTCCTATGACCCCCCTGACATGATCAAGAGGAAGGTTACGTACCTCAAGGGCCTCGGACTTGGTGGCAACATGTTCTGGGAAGCATCATCTGACAAGAAGGGTGCTGATTCTCTCATTGGGATCAGCAGCTCCTCGCTCGGTCAAGTAGATTCTACGCAAAATTACCTCCACTACCCAAACTCTCAGTACGACAACATTCGGAAAGGGCTGCAGTAGGCCTACCTCTCGTGGCGCTGGGCGTCCACGATCGTCGTTGCATTCAACTTCGACTTGCATACTCCGTCAATTACGGCTACATTATTAGCCAGCTTTGGACAACATGTCCATGTATACATATTACCAAGAACCTAAGAAATCTCAATTGTGTACACTACTTACTTTTGGTATGCCAATGGTACCTGTTCCGCGCGTGGGACTGACAGCAGCTCGAACGGTGTTCAGGTAAGCGAGAGCGACCCTCGGAGATGGCAATGGACTCTGTCAGAACGCTACAGCTGTGAGCGGAATCGCCGTCCTCCTGCACACACTCTTTTTGCAACACTCGACCCCCTTTTGCCGGTGTCGGTGATGGCCGAGCTCCTAGAATACTACAGAAAAGAGAGTATGGGGGAGGAAACCAGTTTCGCTCATAGCTGTACACCGCTACTAAAGACCACGGCTGTGCCGGTCGGTGACTTTGGTCTAGCTTTTTGATTCACACTACATTATCCCTATCCAACCAAAGAGACGACGGCAAGATAGAAACTATACAGTACAGGAGGGTCCGTTTTGAGTGTCCCTTTTCCGATCAATAAAATCGGAGAACAAAGCCTGTGTTTGGGCTGTTGGTGGGGCTGGTTTTTTCCTCCGCCGAAGCTGGATGTATCTGTACTCATGGACTCCCTCAAGTTTTGATCGGCAATTCGCCGAACTTGAGTTATGCTATCTTGCGGAGCTCTTATGGCTGTTTGCAAGGCCAGTCCATGTCATCCTGAGTTTCTTTGGTCTCTCTTCGTCTGGCACGACGCATCTCTAGCTGTTGTAAGTCTAAGGGCAAATGGCGAGGACGCATTGTAAATCTACATTGAGTGAAAACAGTGTCACTCAATACGGACCCTACTGTAGCATTCTCAACAAGCCAGGCCGCACTCGGGTACTGGATCAAGCCATGCCAGGTTATTGATCAGGCTCCGGATGTGTCCAATTGCTTCAAGGGTGGTTGGAAAGCGACGGGTTTGTGGCCGGTGTCGGTGGCGAAGCCACTTTTGAGCCCTCTCCTGCTAGAGAACAGCAACAAGCGGAAGAATGATGCGAAAAATGTTCACGGTGCATTCAGAACCCCCCTTTCCACTTCCGAATGGCAATCGGATGCATCGCAGATTGCGTGGTCGACTCCAAGGCGGCCTCAAGATCTGAAGGTGCAGGTGCTTCAATTCAACCAGCTCGACGACGATGTGCCCACGAAGCGGCTGCTGTTCAGGAAGATTACGAAGGGATTTGATGCAACAGATGGCCTCTTAGCAAAAGCTCAATTACGAATTCAGGCGCTGGAAACGCAATTGGCGGCCTGCGCCAAGACATCACCGCCTCTATTTGACCGAGTTTAGATGGCAGGGCCAAGTGCAGGCCTTTCGGAGATGCCCGATCAAAATCATCTCCGCGGATTGCAGCAGACGAACAGGAGCGCCGCCAGACTGGCGGGCCTGCTATCCAGGTCAGACGGTCTGGCCGGCAGAATCCGAGACAGGGCCTTCCATGGAGGTCTCCTTAGTTTCGTACCCTTCTGCGAACTCCCTGTCGTGAGCATGCTTGCACTTCGTATCGTAAGGTCGGCTGGAAGCACCACACCGCCGTTCTAAGAGTGGTGCCCGCGTCATAGAGCAATTTCACGGCAACCTGCTCTGCATCACGGTCAGTGAAGTAGAGGTCATATCGCAACCCACAGTGTATGCCCCAACCAAGTCCTAAAACCTCCTCAGTTCAACGCATTGTAACCACTCCAGGACGTGATTTGTGGTAATGCAAAACCAATGGCTCTAGGTGACGGAGATCGCTCTCCCATTACGCAGCCGAACTAGTGTCAAGGTCACCCAAACACACACCATTTTATGCACAACCTTGGTTCTTATCACAAATATGATCACCTCGCACTGCGACCTTGGGGGTAAAGGGAAGGGCATAAAACCTGTAAGAGCAATGCACAGTGGACAACGGTCGCACCGCTATGTTCTAATTCCAGCACGGCGTGTAGAATATGGCTACTTCCGTAGAGTAGCGGATCCTTACGGAAGTGCCGAAATTGAAGGGGCCAAGGCAAGCCAGGCTTAGTTGCAACACAACCTAAGACTATGAGTGACCTGATATTTCCCATGGTAAATGAGAGGCCAGCGACTATGTAAAATCAACATGGATTTTAACTGATTCAGCAACAGGTGTCATCAAAGATGACGCGGCCATAGCGCCACGCTTTGATTATGGGGCCCTATTATGCGACTCGCACAGGTCGAATCGGAGTCCGTGTGTAGCAACTGGGTGTTGCTGCGCCCCCTTGGTGGTCCTGAGAGTGGCGAAGCGGACAGAGAGCATCAATGTCATGATACCAAATCCCAAGAGATGACGAGGGTTTTGCAGGAATCTCATTCAACGGGCTTCGGCGAGTCCGATGTATGAAGAGTTCTATAAAGTCGACGGATCGAGCGTCGTGCTATCCTCACTTCCGGCATATTCTGCAGCTCATTTTGGGTAACGTTATACTTTCGTTTCCTCCACTAGATTACGATACCAACCACTCCTTTACCACGCTCAGTTCAGACACCTGACGCTATGAAATCTCTGCGGCTCATAAGTCTCCTCGTGGGTTTGGCCTTCGCCGCGCCGACTGAGGTTACCCCAAGGAATATCTCATCGACGCAAA